CTTACACATTTTCTTTTTCCTAAAAAAAGGAGGTTAAGGGATTTCCACAGAAGGCTGGAAGGGCCTTCAGTTCAGGAGAGTCTCATTCATCTGAAAAGAAAATGCTTCTGTGGAGCTGGGATCTGAGTCTGAGAGCTTGTCCACCAGGATGGTGCCCTGGATTCCTCCAAATCCCCGAGACATCACAGACTTAGCGACAGCTGCAGTTCTTCATACATCACTTTATCCTGAGGGTAAGAACGAAAACAGAACCCAGCAATGAGCACCGTTACAGAAACCTGACTGTACTCAGTCACCCCTTTTCATGGGGAATATACAACTTCCATAACTACATCTTTTTAAAAAACCAGGTAGAAATACCATTACATTCCTATCAGTGTTACTGAAGAAAATCAAATGACAAACTGCACTGAGTGCAGACAGGAGGCAGAACTAGTTTCTTACAGCATGAGAAAATGCCAAAAATCTTTCCAAAATAGTTTACTAGTCTCACCAAGAATGCATGTGAGTTCTAGTTACTTCACATCAACATTTGGCGTTACCAGTTTTTTACATTTTAACCATCCCAGGAAAAAAGGAAACCTTAGTATGGTAATATAAACACTTAAAACTTGGAAGCAATCCAATTCCATGTATTTATCCCTAGGAAATTCCATTTATTTATCCCAAAGAAATATTTGCAGCAAATTTCCTAGGCCTTAAGAGATATATTCTTGAAAAATCCAATTTTGTTAAAATTACTCTTTTGGATAGGCAAAATGTTCACACGGTCTAAAAATAAAATACCCAAAGAAGTTATAAAGTGAAAACTGTCTCTCTTCCACCCTGTCCTCTGCAGGCTATCAATAAATACCTTAAATTTTTTCTTCTGTATATACAGCATATACTAATATTACTACTTCTTTTTTAACATTAATGACCATATATCATACACATAGCTCTGGCTTTTGAGAGGAGGAAATCCTCAGTACATTTAAGAGATATATATTCTTGAATCTTTTTTAGAATTATTTCATCATGTTTACTTATATGACTTTAATGTTTTAAATCTTTGTTGTTATATCAGGGGCAGTAAATAGGAGACTAATCACCTTCCTCCTGCAGATCAGCTGGTGATTTTGAACCAAGTGCCTTTGGGATTGCAGTATAGCTTCTTACCACTTGGCCACAACAGCTATCTTTTCAATTTTTATTATTATATATAATGACCCAATGAACTCGTTTTTGGATAATTTTCAGCAGGGTCTTGCTTGGATGTGATAGTAATGATATTGTTTATGTAATTTGTACATTCTGTTGGGTCACCCTTTTTTTGGAATGGGAATGTAGATCCGTTCCAGTCAGTTGGCCAGGTGGTTGGGTGGTTGTCCTCCAGATTTCTTAGCACAACCTGGTCAGTGTGTCCAGGGCAGCATCTGTTTGTTGAAATATGTTAATTGGTATGTTGTCATTTCCAGGGTCCTTTTTAAGCCAATTCTTACATAGCAGCTTGACCTTTCTCCTTCATTACCGTACGTTCTTGATCATATGCTGTTTCATGAAATTCTTTTGTGTCAGCTAATTCTTTTTTGATACAGTGACTCTGTGTACACCTTCCATCTTCTTTTGATGCTTCCTGTGCTATTCAGCATTCTGTCCAAAGCAAACTTAAGTATTTCAACTTGAGGCTTGCATTTGTTTTTCAGTTACTTCAGTCAAAGAAATTCTGTTCATCCATTCTGATTTTCCAACTCCAGCTCTTAACACATGTCATTTTAAAACTTTGCTTTTTTTCCTCCCACGCTGGCCTTTGAAATCTCCTGTTCAGCTCCTTAACATTTTTGCTTTGACTTCCTGGCACTCTAGTGCAATATTCAGAGTCTCTTCTTTGTTCATTAGTATTCAAGGGATCAAACCTGTTCTTCAGATAGTCTTTAAATTCAGAATGGACAGACTCAAGATCAAACTTTGGTTCTTGTGAATTTGATTTTTGTTAGATTCAATTTCAACTTGCATATGAGTAATTGATGATCTGTTTCACAATCAGCACCTGGCCTAGTTTTCACAGCGATACTGAGCTTCTCCAGCAATTTTCCCACCCCCAACCCCCTGAGATGTAATCAATCTGATTCCTGTGTAGGCCAACGGGTGAGGTCCAGGTATATAGCTGCTATTTGTGTTTCTTAAAAAAGGTATTTGCAATAAATCATTAAATAGAATTCTATCATTCTGTCTCCAGACTAATTTCTGTCATCAAGTCCATGTTTCCCAACTACTGGATCTTCTTCCTTGTTCTCAACTTTTGCAATCCAGTCACCCATTATTACTAACGTATCTTGGTTACATGTTCACTAGATTTCCGGATGCAACAGTTGGTAAAAGTCATCTATTTCCTCCTCTTTGGCTCTGGTTGTTGGTGCATAAAACTTGAATGATAGTGGTGTTAACAGGTCTTCCTTGTAGGTGTGTCACTCACAATACTGTATTTCAAGATGGATTTAGAAATGGTCTTTTTAACTATGAATGTGACCTTGTTAAACCTTTTCATTTTCAGCATAGTAGATCATATGACTGTCTGATTAAAAATGTTCCATGCCAAACGGGATCTAGGTTTTTAAAGATTCTTGTTTTGTTTTAGTATGTGGTATGGATTTTCGAGCCATTTGTAATAATTGATTGGAGTCTCAGAAAAAAAAATGTTCCACGCCAATTCATTTTGCCAATGCCTAGTATGTCGATTATTTATGTATTCCATTTCTTCCTTAACAGTCTCCAATTTTCCTACATTCATACATGTCACATTCCAATCATTAGAGTCTGCTTGCAACTGTCCATCCTCCTTTGTGATTCCCATACTAAGGCTCAGCCTCTGGGACCGTATCTGCTGGTCCAATCTACATTTTGCAGATAACACAATCCTTCTTGCTGAAACTGAGGAGGACCTGAGGCATTTGATGCTGAAGATCAAGATCTACAGCCTTCAATATGGATTGAAGCTCAACATTAAGAAAACAAAGATGGCCAATTGGCAGCATCATAATAGATGGAGAAGAGATTGAGATTGTAACAGCTTCAGTTTGCTTGGCTCCACAATTGACAGTTTTGGTACCAGCAGCCAGGAAATCAAAAGATGAATTTCATTGGGGAAGTCTGTTGTACTGAAGAGCAACAATGATAGTCTGGAAACTAAGGTGTGCTTGATCCAGGCCATAGCCTTCACAATTACTTGCTATGTGTCAAAAAGCTGCACAAAGACTAGGGATGATAGAAGGAGATTCGATGCCTTTGAGGTCTGTCCTCGAAAGGGTAAAACCAGGCTGCTCCTTGGAGGCAAGGATTCTGAAGCTTCGTCTGACATTCTTTGGGCATGTTACAAGGAGGGACCAGTCCTTGGAGGATATGATGCTTGGAAGGAGGGACGGACAGTGCAGGGGAGGAAGACCCTGGATGAGATGGATTGACTCTGACTGTGGTAAAGCGGGTAGGTGAAGAGACAATGAAATTGGCTCAAGACAGAGCAGGGCTCAGAGAAGTTGTAGACAAGGTAGCAATGAGTCGCAGGCCACTGGAGAGCACATAACAACAAAGTGCTAAATATCTCAGGATAAATTTACCAAAAAAAGGGTTTCCAGGTCAACTTTTGTGGCTGGAGACATGCTTAACTGCTCCCGAGGGGCTGAGCAGAGGCACAGTGTTGGAGACGGCCTGTGCTCAGCCTCATCCATCCACGTGCAGATTTTCGCTAACTTAAGGGTAAAGAGCAGGATCTTAGTTGCTTTCCCCTACATGCTCATTTCTTTTTCTATGAAGGATACTCTGCCTTTTTATTATTATTATTAGTCTGTTGGTTTTTTGATTACCAATTTTTAGTCATTATTTAAGTATTCTGAGAGACTGGTCGTTTGTGACAGGATTTGCATATACTGTCTTAGTTTGGCAGAGGTCTTTTGACAAATATTTTTGTTTTATAAAATTTGTATTATAAATTTCTACATGAAAATTATAATACTATATATTAAAGTTACTAATCTTCTCCCTTATAGCTACTGGCTTTTGTGTCATAGTTAGAAATGCCTCATCCACTTGAGGTATAGAAAGAATGGTCTCTGGGTTTTCTTCCTAATAAGTTTTTCTATTGAAATCTCTGATCCATATGCAATTTATCCCAGGCAAGTGATGAAGTATCTATTTTATTTTTTCAGGTTGTGTGATAGGTTAAATTGTATTCTTTCAGAAGATGTGTTAGCCTCTGTACTTGCTGAGTGTGTACAGTCTTACAAAAAAAGGACCAACACACAGATACTCTCATACACAGGATAGAGGCTGTAGTGACCAAAAAAAAAAAAGTATTTAGAGGGACTGTAGGTAGTTAAAAGAAAGAGGATGAAGGAGACAGAAAAGAACTCTCTCACAAACTGGGGCTTTTGTTTTGGCATCAAAATATTATCATGCACTTTCTTTCCACTTTAGGAATGAGACAGGGTAAAAAAAGAACTGTAAAAAATAGTCATTAATCCATTAATTCCTATCTTTGGTCGCAATTTGAGCCCATTTTCTCAATTCATTTAAGATAATTTCTTACCTTTTTGGATACAGATGGTTTTACTTTCTTGAAAGCTTCTTCAAAATGTTTAAGACAAACTTTGAGTTCACCTGTGGAGCAAATAAAGACATCAATATATAAAGATACATCCCCCACCTCGGATGTCAATGAAAGTGACTCACACAACAGAGTAGAATTTGCCCTGTACTTTCGAAGGCTATAATTTTTTATTATTATTATTATTTTTTTATTATTTTTGTGTGAGTGTACCATCAAATCAGATCTGACTGGTACAGGAGGAGATTGTCCCTCCTTTTCCCGGCAGAGCATCTGGTGGATTCGAACCGTGCGCCTCTGGGGAAGGCTATAATTTTTATGGATGGTGCTGGTGGGTTTGACTCACTGACTCTGTTAATAATTGTGAAGGTTACTATTGGGTCAGTAAACATGAACTATTACTGTTACTACTGTGTCATGAACCTCAGTATGATGTATATTTTCTGTGCTGTTAAGTTCTAGCCTCTATGATATTAATGAGGCAGAACTAGAACAGATGTTTAAAGTTACGGCCAGACTTATCTGCTAAGGAGAGGTCTCCATAGAGGTGCAGACTGTATAATATTTATATTTGGACTCTGGCAAAAAGCTAGAGGGCTTCTGTGATCTACATCTGGCTATCTGGCTTGTGGTCTCCAGATGGGAACTAGTGGTCAGCAGTACTCAGTCCCCCAAGCTGGCTGTCTACGACCCTGATTTCCAACACCTACACACTCCGAGGCCACCCTCTTGAGGTCGGCCTTCAAACCAGGGAATTGCCGAAGAGCATGAGCCATTTCCTTGAAATAAATCACACTCTCTTTCCCTATGCTTCACTGTTCTGCTTCTGTAGAGAACCCAGTCTAAGTTGGTAGAAGCAAGGCTCCTTCATCTATCAGCATCCAAACAGCGGCAGATAATGCACGGTCAAGGACTATTCATATCCAGTGGCAAAAAAAAAAAATCCAAGATGTACCTGAGATGTAGCTTCTATGTAGTACTCTACATATGGTATTTTTTCCCCAAAGATATTTTGTTTATTTGTAGCCTAGTGATTTTCCCCAAAGAATTTAAAGTGCCTTTAAATTCATATACGTGAATCTTAAAAGTACGCAACAGAAAAATGAAAGATTTCAGAATGAGTATGTATGTGCTGACAAATCTGTGCTAAGAAGCTGATATAACTGAAAACAGAATTTAGCTCCAAGATTCTTGATAGACAAGAAAAAGTAGAAGGTCAATATAAATTTTAAATGCAATTATTTGTCAGTTTACAGAGCCAATTCAGACTTTAAGTTGAGATTAACATTTAGACTTAGAGGACAGGGTTAGTCTGTTTAAAAGAAATGTATTCTACATGACTTTACAGAGATGGGCTTAATAACAACTGATCGCATAAACATTCCAGTTTTTAATTTGTATCTGTGTTCAAGCTCTCTAACATTTTAACGGGCAAGGAGATAATACCTTAGCAAAAGAATGAGGTTTTTCTGGAAAGGTAAACCATGAAGATTGCTTAAAGCTAGTCTCTGATAGGAAGCTAAGGAAAGCTGAACACTCCACTGCACAGATAAGGAAGAATTCTGCTACTCTCATAGTTGCCAGCAATAGAGTTGTCTAAAGGGATCATCAGAAAAACATAGCTTTAATATGAGACAGCAGATGTCAGAAAATGCTGCTGTGGTTGTTCGCCAAGTCATCTAGGGTTTCCAACCCCCACCGAGAGCAGCAGAACAGAGGCATGCTGTGAGAATCTTACCTTTCTCATTCCTTCCACTCTTCCGCTGGGCCATTTCCTGTCTCAGGGCACTGACTGAAGCTTCTCGTACCAAAGCAGAAAGGTCCGCGCCCCTACAATAGAAGAAATTTTTTTCCCTCTTTTTCCAGTGCTCCTCAGATCCCCAGGAGTCACAGGTCCTGGGGGGCACTGTGTCCTCAGGGTGACTGGAGCCCAGTGCTAGACATCATGGGGGCTATTTATTTACTCTTAGAAAGAAATCCAATCAAACCTGGTGAGTTAGTTGGTCCTGACTCTCGGTGGCCTGCCATCAGGTTTCTGAGGTTGTAAATCTTTACAAGGAGACACCTTTCTCTTAAGAAGCAGCTGATGGATTTCAACTACAAATCTTTTGTTAACAGCCTGGAACATTACCCATTACGCTACTAGACCTACTCTTAGATTCTGCAAAGGAACATGAAAAAGCTGGTAACAACTCTTTATTAAACCTTTATTAAATTATGTATCTTAAAACATCAGGAGAGAAGCTGACCAATAAAAGTAAAATAAATTGATTATGGTGAGAGGAAAACAGCTTTCAGCTTTTTCTTATATTAACCTAAACTTTAGGAGAGAAAAGAAAAACCAACATGAGGAAACACTGCACCAGTCACCAATTCGTCCATCTCATTAGCTGCTACAGATACAGTAAAACTCAGAAAGCTGGAAGCCTGTGAAGGCGGGTACGTGTCAGCAGGCACCAACTACTTTCAATAAGCAGTGGAGAAGCAGAGCACCTGCTCTGAGCCCACCGTACAGAGCATGCACAGTCGGACACAGCAGTCCTGCTGAGCCACAGCTCTCACCGCGCCATCCATGGGATGAACACGAACGCAAAAAGGCCCAAAACCTCCCCTTAGTACAGGCACATTTTTAAGAATTCTTTTTAAACTTTAAGAATTGTTAAAAGTTCACCGTAATATCTCATGTACCTGGGCTATGCCACATTGCTGACTGGCACAGTCACATACTTCCTACTATCTAAAGTTAAGTATGTATTACTTAAAGAAACAAGGGAGCTCTGGCAGGCAGTGGTAAGGAGTTTCACTGCCAATTCAAAGGTTCATGGTTCGAATTCACCAGCTACTTTGCAGGAAAAATTCGGATAATCTCCTTCCATGCAATTTACTGCCTTTGAAAACCCACTGGAGGATCAGCTCTGACCCAAACGTGCATAATACCCAGGCTGCTGAGGGTGGGGCTTGTCCGTAGCAAGCTGTGCTGCTAACACAAAGGCCAAGCCTCTCTGGCAGTTCAAATCCACCCCACGCTCCAGGAAAGAACAGGTAATTTCTTCTCAGGAAACTTACAACCTCAGAAAACCTGCTCTGAGTCACTTCTGACGGGTTTGGTTTTTTAATTTAATATGAGCTTAAATAAAAAGTCATATATGGTTTCAAGTTCAAAAGAGGGACCCATAAAAGCTAGAACTAAAAGCTGTCTTTGATGAACACAGCTCCAACTCAGAATGGATGGACACATTATAAGATCCTTAAAGATGTGACTAAAAGCTCACAAGGCTTTAATTATGCTCATAGGATGCTGAGTTGTTAGCTCTACATCCAATGAAAACACATTGTTGCTAATGAGGGTTTCACTGTATTACAGCTTTAAAAGATTTTGACATTTAAAAACTGCAGTATGAGGGAGCGTTTACAATTCCTTTTAGTTTCCCATCCAATTATTAAAATATATTTGGTTTGATAACATTAATTATAATTGACTAATTTAATGAAAGTGTCTTTCCCTTCATACAACTTATTTACTTAATACTTTTTATTCCCCTCTCTATCCCTTCTCATCACTGCGAACCACCCACAACTGAATCTATGTGCGGGCAAACCTTGCCTTAGCTTTTTCTACGCAACAGTGGCCTCAGACCATCATTATCCTTTTGACACTGACTTATGTCACTCTAGATTAATGCACATTATACACAATTTCCTCTAGATTCACTCACGTTATGCAATGTTGTGGTAATTCTTTATTATTCTTCAGAGTTATATAATACTCCATGGTGTAAATGTACCATAGTTTCTTTAACTGTTTGTCCACTGACAGATACTGGGACTATTTTCATCTCTTTGCTATTGCACATAAAGCTACAACAAACATTAGTGTGTATATATCAGTTTGTGCTGCAGCTCTGATTTCCTTAAGGCATATACTTAGTAGTGGGATTGCTGGATTCTCTAGCATTTCCATTGTCAGCCTTTTAAATACATGCCAGACTGTTGTCCACAGTGGGTGACTATTCCCTCTTCCCACCAACAGTTCCTGAGAGTTTCTATCCCTCCACAACTTCCACAGTGTTTATTGTTCCTGTCTTGTTGCCAGGTGAGATACTATCTTATTTACTGTTTTGATTTGATCTAATAGTTAATGGAAGGAGCTCTGGTGGAAAGAAGCTGTGCTGAAATCCTAAAGGCACGTGGTTCTAATCCATCAGCTGCTCCACAGAAGGATGGGCAATCTCCACCCATGTGATTTTACTATGGGTTGGTTCCGACTCGACAGCACACAAGAGGTAAATGGTGGGAGCTTTGGTGGCCTAGTGGTAAGGAGCTGGGAAATCTCTTCCTGTGCGTGTGATTTATTGCCACCAAAAACTTGCTGGAGGGTCAGCCAGGAGTCAGGTAAGACTCCACAGTACAAAACAGTACCTGGTGGCCTAGTGGGTAAGAAGTTGCGCTGCCATCTCAATCCAAACCCATGCAGCTGGAACCCAATAGTGGATCTGTGGAAGAAAGCCCAACAATCGCCTCCTGTGTGCCTCACTGCCTCGAAAACCATGCTCCGACTTGACAGCATATCATAGCAGCAACAACAACAGGTATCTTCAGTATTTTGCTCTTATTAGTTGGTCATTGGAATACACGTCTTCTATGAAGTGTTCTTTCATGTCTTCCAGCCATTTTATAACTGGATTATGTAGTTCAAGACATTTTTAGACAATATTTTTAATTTGGATAAAAACCTCAAGACATTAATTTATTCCATAAAGTTGGAAGCCCATATGATATATGGCAAATAAAATTGAAATTATGAATGGAATATAATTGTTTGCTTTGGTGCAGAGACAGCATGTTGTTGTTATGTGCCATAAAGTCGCCTGCGACTCATAGCGACCCTATGTACAACAGCCCTAAACCCTGCTCTATCCCTTGCCAATCTCACTGTCTCTGACACACCCACTCCCATTATCCTACTCACTGAATCAATCCATCTCTTTGAGGGTCTGCCTCTCCTGCACTGTCCCTCCCTCCACCCACCCAAGCATGACATGCCTCTCCTTGCAACATGCCCAAAATATGTTAGATGAAGCTTCAGAATCCTTGCCTCCAAGGAGAAGCCTGGTTTAACTCCCTCCAGGATTAACCTGTTCATTTTCTTAGCAGTCCATGGTATATTCAATACTCTTCTCCAGCACCACAGCTCAAAAGCATCAATTCTCCTTTTATTCTCCCTAATCATTGTCCAACTCTCTGCTGCAAAGCAAGTGATTGCAAAAGGCCTGTATTGGGCACACCTTAGTCTCCAGACTGACATCGTTGCTCTGCAGTACTTGGAGAGGTCTCTAATAAGAGACTTTCCCATTGCAATAAATCTTTTAATTTCCTGGCTGCTGGTACCAAGGATGTTGACTGTGGAGCCAAACAAACTAAAGTTGTTAACAATCTCAATCTCTTCACCATCTATTATGATACTGCCAACTGGCTCAGTGGTGAGAATCTTTGTTGTCTTGATGTTGAACCTCAATCCATACTGAAGGCTACAGTCCTTGACATTCTGCAGCAAGTGCTTCAGGTCCTCCTCAGTTTCAGCAAGCACGGTTGTGTCATCTGCATAACGTTTAAACATATATAAACAGGCAGAGAAAGATGGGCAATCTTTGTTCTACTATCTGTATACTTGACGAAGGACAGCAGACTTCCTAGATTTCCCACTCTCTCTCACACTATAATGTCTCAACTCACTACTGTGTGAGTCCGATGCCATGGTATGATTCTGACTTACAGCCATTCTGCCTCAGGTGTCTGACGCTGTAAATCTTAGCAGGAGACTCCCAGGGAGCCAAGAGTGGATTCCAAGAGTGAGAAACGCATGGCCCTGCAGATGCACAGGATACCTCCCTAGACCACACCACCAAGCTTCTCACCGTGGTGACAGTGGTATGAGAAGAACATGCATTAGAATATTAAACTTTATCTCTGACTCCTTCATAGACTGACATGTTACTTGGTATAGTCCAAAAGACTGAGCCTTGCGTATAAGTTCTGTTATCCAAATCATCTGTTACTGAACTGAAAATCTTTCTGGATCTTAGCAAACAAAGGTGTAAATAACTTGCTCTAAGATTTTTCTTAGTACCTGCTAGAGATTAAATCCCTGTGTGTATCAAATACTTTTCCCCAACAGGGTAAAAAGAAATCCTACTGACAGGGAAAAAAACATTTGGCAATACCATCTCAGACAAGGGTCTCATAACAAAAGTTTACAGAATCATACAGGGCCTCCACAAGAAAAAGAATGATAATCTAATCACAAAATGGACAAAAGACATGGAAAGACTTTTCAAAGAGGAGGACATACGGATGGCCAAAAGACACATGAAGAAATGCTCCAAATCATTGGCAGTAAGAGATTCAAATTAAAACCACAATGAGATACCATCTCACTCCAGTAGCAATGACCAAGTTTAATAGGATAGCAAGTAATAAATGGGGAGGATGTGAAGAGATTGGAATTTACACACACTGCTGGTGGGATTGTAAAATGGTCCAGCCACTCTGGAAAGCAATTTGATGTTTCCTCAAAAAAGTTGAACATAGAAACTTCATGTAACCCAACTGTTCCATTACTAGGAATATATTTCAAGGAAATTAGAACTGAGACACAAACAGAGATTTGTACACCAGTGTTCATAGCAGTATTATTCACCATCGCAAGAATATGGAAACAGTCCTAATGTTCAACTGCAACGGAATGATTTGAGAAATTGTGGTAGTCAGGAGCAACGATTTTGGAAATTACTACCTAACTTGGGAGAGACTGGAGAACATTATGCTGAGTGAATTAACTCAATCTTTTATGGACAAATAATGCATAAGACCATTATTTAAAAATAGAAGAATAACTAGTAAAACATGTATTGTAGTCCAAGGGGGGAAGGGGTGGAAGCAGATGGGTGAGGATGGGCAGGGAGGAAATCAGAGGGTTGTACAATCTGGTGGGTTTAGAAAGGAGGTGAAGTAAATGGGAAAGATCTGGCATGGATCTGAAAAGACAGGATAATGGCTGGCATAGTCCAATGGTGATTAATTTTATGAAACACAATGTATGGAAATGATTGTATGAAACATACTGTCAATGAAAGGAAGTGTGAAAAATAGAAACAAATTTTATAAAAAGAAAAAAATAATTTCCTAGGGTAATGAGATAATTTAACGGAAATCCTCACTCAAGGGAGGTAGAGGTATACAGGCAGCCCCTTTACCTCCAGCCTGGACTCTGATGGCGTCCCCTCCTTCAGAAACCCTGCCTGCCTTTAAGAAAAGAGCCATGATTATGGATGGGGATGCTCCTGGAGAGAAATTGGGGTTCCCTGTATTATTCCCAATGAGTCTCTTTGGTTATAAACTTAGGCTTCTAAGCAACAAAGACCTGGAAGATTTTGAAAATTGTGACTTGGCTTTCGCAAGTCCCACATTTGTTGATGTGGTTTTAGGGGACTACCTGAGAAGCACACTGTTCACAGTCAACAGAGTTAATAAAAGCCTGAGATGTCCCTGTTTATTAAACTGTAATTTCATTTCCCTCCCTGTGTCCCAAACTGGGAGAATGAGCAAATTTACCTAAAAACATATGATGAAAAAGCAAACCAACAAGAAGCACAAATATATATAAACACCAAGGGCAGAAATGCCTGCTCTTTGCTTTCACTGCAGGCTGTATGGATGTTACGAGGTGTGCAGTGAAAAACAGGGTCTGGGGTTTGCCAAAGGCAGCGACCAGTTTATTCTCCATCAGACCTTGAAGCACCCGGATGATGTGGCAACTGGTCCTGAAATGTCTGCTCTGATACCTCATCAGGACAGATGAAAGGAATTTGTGAACAGCAGCAGTGAAGTTTCCACTGCTGAACACCAAGAGTCTTATAAAAGGCTTCCTTCATTCCTACGTAAGCCTTTGGAGGCTCAAAAACACTACCCCTCCCTTCTCTGGGACAGAAACGGCATGTAAGAGCCAGACACTATACTGAGGGCACTTCTTGTGAAGTTTTCACCTGTTCCTCCAGAAGCCGGTAGAAGTGGGTCTCATTCCCACTCTTCACAGAGGTAACCTTTCACTCCCTAATTACTACCTGCTTTGAATTTTTGTCATGTGTTTTTAGTAAAAGGAGGCATGCTGATCTAGCAAGAAGAAAACTTTGCAAGATAAGATGGTTTTTGATAAAATTATATGAGACAGAGAAGTCCCACATGGCCTCCAGTGGAAGGACCTGCGTGGGGCCCTTTTCTTCAGATTCAAGCAATCACATAGTCCCTGCCAGGCAGCAGGGAGGCAACTGCCCATGAAACCTGAGAGGCTAGAAATACTCACGATCCCATGAGTCATGAACAGGTTAAATGACTTGGATGGGATTCAGTACTTACGTGTAGCAATTACAACGAAGGTCATTGGCAATCGCTTCCAAATTTACATCAGCATCCAGTGGGGGTTTGGTACCATTCTCAATGAAAGAGGGAGAGAAGAAAAAAAAATATTAGTATTTTCCTTTGAGGTTTTAAAGACCAGTACTGGCTCATATAGAAAATTCTCAATGTACAGTAGCAGCTACTGGGCTACATAAAGATTCTCACACTGTTGTGTGCTATCGAGTTGGAACCAGCTCAGAGGCAGTAAACTGCATGAGAGCATCTTTCTCCCACAGAGTAGCAGCTTATTCGAACCATATGCCTTTGGGTTGGCAGCACACAGCACAACTTCTTACCACTAAGCCAGCAGAGTGTCCTTTTAACTCTCCTACTAGTATCTAGAGACTTTTACAAAGATCAATTTTGAGAAATGAGGTTAAGAAGTCTATTTCAAACTTACGAAACCTAACAACAAATCATTTATGCTCACAAAGTCTGGAGAAGCTCTGTGCCATTACAGTAAAAACATCAGAAAGTTGTCCTCAATCTTCGCAGAGGTCGAGGAGCATGCACTTCCTGTGCCTGATTAACAGCGGGTGTATGGAGGCAGCTTGGCTGAGGCCAGAAATAAGCAGCTGATGGGAGAGTAAAGGGATGCTGAATCCACCAGGAGGGAACTAAGAGTAACCCAGAGACAAGAAAAGCCCCCAGGTTCCATGCTCAGCAGGCTCTTAATCCTTTGTCTAAAATGAAATTGACCATGGTGCCAACCTTCCCTCATTCACATCAAGAGATACTACAATCAAGGATTAGCTCAGCAGGGGAAACTCCAGTGTGCCAGCACATACAGGAGGCCTGGCCCACTTACAGTCCACATTCTACAACATTTCAAGGATTTAAAACTGGAGGAGCAAACAAAACCAACCATAGTGACTTGAAATGTTAAAGCATGGTTAGAGGGCAAGTTCATGAATATATGCTTCAGATTCCTGATCTATAACTCAAATATACACTGCATACAGTCTTACATTTGTAGCAAATATCACACTATAAAATAGCCTTTAAAAGAAACACCCCAAAAAAGGTGACTAAACACACAGCAGAAAGCTTCAAAGTCAATGCAGAATTTATCTTGGAAGACCTTGTGTTATGACTGCCTTCCCATCCACACTCAGGCCTTCTCCTCACTTCCCCTCAGGCGGGCAATATGCACGGACATCAGAAACTATACCTGCAAGATGCTATGATCTGGTAAAATGTAAATGTTCATCTAACACAGGCTCAAGACTCGGGGAATAAAGTGTGTTACCTTAGGCAAAATACTCTCTGTAATTTTCCACCTCTATTGTAAAACTGGATTACCAGACTGTCAGTTGACTGGCAGGGATTACTTATGACGGAGAAGAGATGAGTGTGGACTTTGTGACTCATTATTACTGCAGGGGAGGCAGCTGATTCTGCCCTACTAATTCTCTCACCTATTACTTGCAGGAGGGTGGTGGTGGAGTCACCTCATCAGACAGTCTTTACTATCTTTAATAGCTGTTTTCCTTTAATCCTCACAAAGGGTTTAGATCATCCCTATTTACCTCCGAAGAATTCTACCTCCAATTCTCTACTGTCCTGTTTTAATCAAAAGTTCAATTTGAAGAAAAAATGCACAGTGAATTTCATCAAAGGAAATGTTTTCATCTTTACTAAATGGTACTGTAGGTTCAAAACGGACACTCACAAAGCACAATGTCCTCTGATCCTTCACAAAATTGTTTTAGTAAGCTGGTTATGGATTATGTGCTCAGCTTTCTCTAAGAGAACAACTGGCCTTGCTCCTGAAAGGTTCATTGTTTTATTAGAGGCACTGTAAAAGAAGGGACTCTGGTGGCATAGAGCCCACAGAGTTGTGCTCCTAACCCAGTGACTTGGCCTCTCTTCTCATAAGAATGTACTAACAGCTGGAAGGGCAGGAGAAAGGTGGGCAGCTCCTCAAACAGGCCTCATAGCTGCAGAAAATCCACTAAGGGTCAGCCAGGAGTCAGTACTGATTCCACAGCAGTTAAGAGAGGCGTTAAGGCATGTTTCATCACATCTTACTGGTCTCTATGAAAACCCAGAGGAGAAGTTACTGGAAGAAACTGTATCAAGGTTTCTACACATAGGGTAACCTTTGTTTAAATGAACACAATAAATAAATGAGGTAAAAGGTGGAAAGTTTTAAAGAAAAAGAATAAGCTAAAATTAATAGAAATTTGATAAAGTTAATAAAATAATTAAGAAGCGCACAAGTATTAAATTAGCCTTTGTGTTTATGTAAGGATGATCAATATAGCAAAGATCCAAGAGTAAATATTAAGAACATTATTAACAATAATTTCCAAGGAGTAGAAATAAGGGCTGAGGGCTCTCTGGATCATTAAAATATCATTTTTAAATGGAAATACGGCAATGAGTCTTTTCTATAGTTAAGAAGTAAAATGAAAGGTAAATTCTATTTACCGTCAAGTGAAGCAATCAGAATCCTTTTAAATAATATATTTAAAACTTGTGAAATAAAACATGTAAACATTTTTTACAAGTTTTTTTTAAAAAAAAGACAAACAATAAACTATTAAAACAGAACTTGAAAAACTCAACCTCATTGATGCCCACTGGGAACCAACTTCTAGCTGTCCCCGTACAGTTTCCTAGAAGCTGTAAATCTCATGGGAGGAAAATGTCCACCTTTCTCCCTTGGAGCCTCTGGTGTAGGGAAGGTGTAGGTAACTCCCTACAGAACAGGACACCTGAGCTCCGTAAAGCAGTACTCAAAACACCAAGCAAAATGGTACGAGGGTGTGGATTATTTGGAACCTCTTTAGTATTAAGTCGGTTTTTCTTATATGATAGTTAAGGACACCTGTCGACTTGGCTGACTACAGTCTGACAGTTCTGCCGTGGTTCTGGTGGCTTAGTGGTAAGAAATGCCCTTGATAAGACCTCTTATCTTACTTAATCACATGATAATGTCTGCTGTAAGTGGACAATCAGTTCAAAACATGTCATTACTGACATCTGAATGGAGGACATAAAAAGACGGATGGATGAATGAATAGATGGATAGCCGGACTGATGGACAGACAGATAGATGGATGGATGCCTGGCAATGCTCTCTCACTTCATTCAGGTCAGTCTAGATCCTAACTTGTTTCAGCACGCCTGTCTCCTGGACTTGAACCAGAAGCGTGCTTCATCAGACTCCACAGCCCTGTGACTCAGGAGAAACCTGTCTTCTGGGGTCTGACTCACGGGTGTGAACTGTGCAAACCACAAGCCCCTGAGTCTTGAAGAAACGACTCTATGTTTGTGAGTGTGTTACGAATGCTTAATTTGTTTTGCTTTTCTAGTATCTTAAAGAGACCTCTGGTGGCTTAGTAGTAAGGAACACCACTGCCAACACAAAGGTGTCAAATCCACCAGAGGTTTGAATCCACCAGCTGCTCCGTGGGAGAAAGACAGGCAATCAACTGCCATGCAGTTTAGTGCCTCTGAAAACATGCTGGTGGCTCAACTGTAAGTCAATTCCAACTCAATGGTACATAACAACAACAACAACAAAAATCTCTTAATGAAGTCTCTGATAGAAATTCCAAACATTTGGATATTACACAAAGTTATATCAAAGGAAATGCCTGAGTTGTGAAAAAAAGAAATAGTCCTGGCTTATTTACTATTATTTTCTACACATCTCATTAAACACTGTATGTTGTAGAATAGTCAGCCAGGTTTTAGAACAAAATAAAAATATACTACTTTTTTCTTTCAATACTTAAATCCATTTTCAACCGCAGACATCTGTTACATAATAAGAACAGTTTCAGATGCTGTCAACATGATGGAGGGACACATGAACAGGGTGGAAGAGATGGAACACAGAACCAGTGAGACTGAACATAGAAATGTCACCACTGATCTGTTAGAAAAAAAAGCAGAATCAAAAGGAAGGAAAAAGAAGAAAACCTAAGAATAAAGCGGGACATAATCAATGCACGTAATTGGAATCCCAGAATGGGAAGAAGCAAGTAAAGGTATTGAAAAAGTTGTGGAAGAATTACTAGAAGAAAATTTCCCAGGTGTAATGAAGAATGAGGGAATATATATTCAAGAAGCTGAGAAAACACCATATACAATAGACCCCAAAAGAAAAACACCAAGACATAACACAGTCAAATTTGCCAGAACCAAAGAGAAGGAGAGAATTCTGAAAACAGTGAGGGAAAAACAAAGAGTAACCTATAAGGGAAAGGCAGTAAGATTAAGTGTCATTTCTCAGCAAAAACCACATGAGCAAGAAGACAGTGGAACGACACAGCGAACACTCAAAGAACTCAACTGTCAACTAAGAATACTGTACCCAGAAAAATAGTCCATCAAATATGAAGGACAGATCAAGATATTCCTAGAAAAACAAAACCTAAGGGAGTTCGTAAAAGCAAGACCAGCATTGCAGGAGACACTGAGGGATGTCTTTCTTACAGAGGTGCCAAAGAAAGCAGGATGAACCAAATAAATAGCAACCCCCCCCCCCACACACACACACTCTCTCTCTCTCCAACAAAATGACAGTAACAAAACCTTGGATGGACCTAAGTAACTAGCAACACACATACAAAAAAAAATTCAACAAAATGATAGTAAAACCTTGCCTCTCAATAATCACATTGAATGTAAATAGTTTAAATGCACCATTCCAGGATAATCAACAATCTCTACTGAGGCTTCAGATCCAGTGAGCTAAATAAAGCACCACATGTTCATGGCTTTGACCATCAGCTGTGTGGTAATGACAGCCAAGGGCATAACTCAATCAGAAGAATGATTCTCCTAAAATTTCAGTGCATCAGAAGTTTGCTAGGCCCCTGCTACCACCTCAATGTGATAGTTTTTCCATTTCACTTAGCTCCAGGCAATCATCATTATCTTTACTCACTCACTTTCACTTGTATTGCTGTTAGTCTGAACCACCTCAAAAGCACCAATCACAGAGCAGACTGCCCATCTTTCTTCTGCAGAGCAGTTGGTGAATTAGAACCTCATGTCTTTGGGATGGCAGTGCAGCTCCTTACCACTACGCCACCACATCTTCCTATTTATTACTACAAGAGGGAGCTCTTCAATACATGAAGCTGATCATTTTTTTCTTTCCTGCACATGGGACAGCTCTAATTTCAGCTGATGCAAACACCTAGACAACCCCCCAAAAAGGTGGCCTACTGGCAAGCTGCACTGTAATTCCAGAAGTACATGGTTCGAATCCACCAGATGCTCTGCTGGAGAAGGAGGGGCAATCTCATATACCAGTCAGATCTGATTTGATGGTACACACAAAAAAATAATAAAAGTTAAAAAAAAAAAGGTACATGAATGATGAAACTGGACAAAGGAAAAACACACTGGAAACAAACAGGAGGAAGGGAACACAAGAAAGAGAACTTTCTCATTTTTGGATAGTTGTCATGGGTCAAGTCAACTTTGGCTCAGAGGTGCCCAATGGACAACAGATCCTCTCAATCTCTGCTGTACTATGACGGAGCCCCCCGCTTCAGCCACCATGTCAATACACCAACACTGAGGACAGAAATCAATAAAGAACTTTATTTAAGGAGTCACTGGAGCCTGACCCAGTGCCTGCACCGACAGGCTCCAAGAGAACAACAGCTGTGAGGAGGAAGAGTTGTGCCCCACGATCTAGAGAGCAACAGCTATGAGGAGGAAGGGCTGTACCCCACGACCCAGAGAGCAACAGCTGTGAGGAAGGATAGCTGTGCTCCACATTCTATGTGGGGTGGCCAACACTTAACACCAACTACAACCCCATTTCAAATTATGCACCAAGAAATACTTCCCCAAAGTCAACAGAGTTGAAAGAACATGAAAGAGGATAAGAGGGTTATATATACTGGCCAAGAATTTAATGTCAATTATTCCCTGTTAACTTACCTTCACTTGGCCAAGTGACTGGAAGAGATCAATATTTATTCCCATTCCAAAGAAGGGTGACCCAACAGAGTGTGGAAACTACAGAACAATATCATTGATTTCACATGCAAGCAAGATTCTATTGAAGATTATCCAAAAACGACTGGAACAATACATCAGCAGAGAACTGCCAGAAGTCCAGGCTGGGTTTAGAAGGGGTCATGGTACTAGGGATATTGTAGCTGATGTTAGATGGATCTTAGCTGAAAGCAGGGAATACCAGAAGAATGTCTATCTGTGTTTCACTGATTATGCAAAGGCATTTGACTGTGTGGATCATAACAAACTGCGGCTGACTCTGAGAAGAATGGGAATCCCAGAACACTTGATCGTTCTAATGAGAAACCTACACTTGGACCAAAAAGCAGTCATCAGAACAGAGCAAGGAAACACCGCATGGTTCAAAACTGGGAAGGGTGTACGCCAGGGATGTGTCCTATCTCCATACCTTTTCAAGCTGTATGCAGAACAGATTATCCAAGAGGCTGGGCTCTATGAGGAGAAGTGTGGTGTCAGGATTGGTGGAAGATTCATCAACAATCTGCATTGTGCAGATGACACAACCCTCCTTGCTGAAACTGAGGAGGACCTGAAGCACTTGCTGCAGAGGGTCAAGGACTGCAGCCTTCAGTATGGATTGAGGCTCAATGTCAAGAAGACAAAGATTCTCACCACTGGACCAATTGGCAGCATCAGGATGGATGGTGAAGAGATTGAGATTGTTAACAACTTTAGTCTGCTTGGCTCCACAGTCAACACTCTTGGCACCAGTAGCCAGGAAATAAAAAAATGTATTGCGATGGGAAAGGCTGCTGTTAGGGACCTGTCCAGGGTACTGAAGAGCAATGGTGTCACTCTGGAGACTAAGGTGCGTCTGATACAGGCCATGGTCTTCGCAATCACCTGTTATGCATCAGAGAGTTGGACAATGACCAAGGAGGATAGAAGGAGAATTGATGCCTTTGAGCTGTGGTGCTGGAGAAGAGTATTGAAATGTACCCTGGACTGCCAAGAAAACAAACAGATTTATCCTGGAGAGGGTTAAACCAGGCTGCTCCCAGGAGCCAAGGATTTTGAGGCTTAGTCTGACATACTCTGGACATGCTGTAAGAAGGGAGAGGTCCTTAGAGAGGGACATCATGCTTGGGAGGGTGGCGGCGCAGAAGGGGAAGACCCTCTATGAGGTGGATTGATTCAGTGACTGGGGTAATGGGGATGGGTGTGTCAGAGGCAGTGAGATTGGCATAAGATAGAGCAGGGTTTGGCTGTTGTACATAGGGTCACTATGAGTAGCAAGCGACTTGACGGCACATAACAACAACAACTTACCTTATTTTAATCAAGCAAGAATAAAAACTGGATAGTTTTTAAATGATCTAATGTAGTTCATCCTCCTTCTGGATAGATTATAATTAGGTAAATATTTAAAGCCAGGGAAGACAGAGAGCAATTAATCACCTTAAATTGCAAACTCCTATCATTTGTCTATGGCACTCTTGTGGTCCTGTAAGTAAGGAACTGAACTGTTACCTGAATAGTCAGTGATTTGACCTGACCAAGGTATCCATGAAAGGTGGGACAGTTTGCTTCCTCAAGGTTTATAGCCTTGAATACCCTATGAGGCTGAAGAACCCTTCTGTTCTTCAGGGTCAGTGAGATCTGGAACTGAATGGATGGCAGGGGGTACAATTCATCTCAAAGGAGGCAACCAGACACAGAAATACCATTGTATACTCACTTTTGTGATAGTTTTTAAGATGGCCAGGCGATCTTCTGGGGGTGGCAAACCGACAAAGAGGGTTTTGTCCAGCCGGCCTGGGCGCAGTATTGCTGGGTCAATGATATCTACACAGAAGGGAGAGAGGCGGAACGTCTTAAACAAAACAATTTTTAGAAAATAATCAGTTTGAAAAATAGATCATTTTAAATTTATTATACATATGTATTTTTCTTTAGTTGTTAAAAATCTTTTCATTTGCATGAAAGTTTATAAATCATAGTGGTTTTTCATGTAATAATTCACAGACATTTTGCTTTTGTGGAGTTTATCTTTAATCTTTCAATATGGTTTTTCTAGCCACTGAACTTGATTTTGTCCTGTTAATGGGTAGGACTATGCAAATAGGGTATGTTAGCCTATAAACAGGGGACTGGCCAGTCTTGCCATTGAGCTGAGTGGATCCAACAGCAAAAAGAAGAAACTTCACCACCAGGAAAAGAACAAGCAAGAGGACCCACAGGGTCAACAGCAACACGGGAGGGCCAGAGCCCTGACACGAGGTGGAGAACCAGAGATGGGAGATGTGGCCTTGGAACTGTTACACTCTGGGAATCAGAGTTAAGAGCCTTTGCTCTACTTACCCAGACAACTGGGGATGGGGTTACAATTTTCAGGACTGAGAACTTTGTAACACTGGCCTAAAGCTGTAAGGCTTGAGGCTGAGATGCCTGTGAGCACATTTCTGAAGCTTTCTTGCATATATTCTTCTACTAACCTGGATTATAACCTTTTTAACTTTCCCATACGGTTCTGTGTGGTTATTTAATTCTGGATCCAGTAAAACAGTAACATTGGTGATGAGATAACTAGAAAGAGGTATGGGACCAGGGGGGACATGTCTGATGTAACAGTGTGTTATTGATGCTGTTGATGGGGATAGTTCCCCTTTGTGATGTTGGTAAAGGTAAGATATATGGTCATCCCCACGTACTCCTAGTAATTTTACAGTTTTACAACATTAATTTCCATTGGTTAATGTAATTAACTGATTACAGTGTCAATCCCCTATTGTGCACTGTCTTTCCATAAAACATAATTTTTTAAGCTGAATAACTAATTCTTAACCATTTTAGAGGCTTCACACAGTTCACAGAGATAAGAACACTGACTGAATCTACAGGGTACTCTGGTCTTGGGATGCCCTTGTACTCGTCAGGATCACTGAAGACCCTTTTAGAAAGCCTTTGTTTATATAGATTATAGCTATAACAGAATGAAAACAAAGGGTAAATTTTTGTTAATTAATTAAACAAAAATTATAAATATGTATTAGTAAGTTGACTATTTTAAGAAATAAGGCTATTTTCTAAAACAAAAGCAATTAGAAGAGTGATACTACTTGACATTTTAAAATGTAACACCATGGATGAGGTAATGTCCTTTGGTATTATTATGCATGTAATTTGACTTTGCAGATCCCTTCACAGTGCTTTCAGGATTCCTAAGAGACTGTGGGCCCACTATGTGTCCCATTGCTTTGTACTCAAGACAGATCTGCTCATGGACGGTCCCTGAGGTTAAGAGCTTACCAGAGCAAACAGTATGCTAAAAGAGGCAAGGAAGAAGAAAAAAAGGTGTGTTTGGGTACAGAGAGCTTTTGCATACAGACATACACATCAGAGATTTTTTACCTTTCAAAATTGGGAGGGGAAGGGAAGAGTATAGGATGATCGGAGAAGCAGTGTTATAAAGACTGTTATTATTTAATAACAAATTTCGCTTCAGAGAGAAATGTCCATGTACAATTTTTCTTGTATTTTAAACAGCACAATTTGAATAAACTTACTAGCTTAATTTTCAACTTCTTGTTGTTAGGTGCCACTGAGCTGAGTAGAATTTACAGCGACTCTATGAACAAAAGAATGAGCCCTGTTCTATCCTGCGGCATCCTTACACTTCCTGACACATACGAGCCCACTGAAGCAGTCACCATGTCAACCCACCAGGATGAGGGTCTTCCTTTCCTTCACTGACCCTCCACTCTTTCCAACATCATGTCCTTTTCCAAGGAACAGCACCTCTTTGCAACATGTCCAAAGTATGGGAGGCCTGCCCCATCATTCTTGCTTTCTTCTGCACCCTCTCTAAGACATATGTTAATTCTCTTGGCTTTCCACGGGATATTCAGTGCTCTTCTCCAACACCACAGCTCAAAGGCGTCAATTCTTTTTCCATTATCTTTATTCATTGTCAAGCTTTTGGATGCAGAGCTAGTAATCGGAAAGACTATGGCTTTAGACGGACCTTAGTTCCAAAACTGTTATCACTACTCCTCAATAATTTGGAAAGATCTCTAATTGCAGATTTCCCTGTGCAATGTGTCTCCTTATTTCCTGTCTGCTGGTACCAAGGGTGTTGTAGATCTAAGCAAGATGAAGCTGTTCAAAGTCTCAATCTCCTCTCCATCCATTATGACACTTCCTATTCGTCCAGTTCTAAGACTCTTTGTTTTCCTAACATTGACATGTAACCATACCAAAAGCTGCATTCCTTGATCTTCTGCAACAGTACTTCAAGCTCTCCTCACTTTCAGCAAGCAGTGTTGTGTCATCTACAAAACACAGGTTATTAATGAGTCTCCCTCCAATCCTGATGCCATACTCTTCCTCATAGAGTCCAGCATCTTGGATAATTTGCTCAGCATACAGATTGAATAGGTACGGAGAAAGAATACAACCCTGACACACTCCCTTCCCAATTCCAAACCATGCAGTGTTCCCCTGCTCCGTTTGTAAAACAGCCTCCTGATCTGGGTATAGGTTCCGCATGAGCACAATCAATTGCTCTGGGATTCCCATTCTTCTCAATGTCAACCACAACCTGTCATGATCCAGTCAAGCTTTGCATTATCAGTAAAACACAAATAGGCATTCTTCTGGTATTCCTAACTTTCAGCCAGGATCCATCTGATATCAGCAATGATATCCCTCGTGCCATGACCTTTCTAAATCCTTCTTGAACTTCTGACAGCTCCTTATCTATGTGCTGTTCCAACCATTTTTGAATGATCTTCAGTAGTATTTTGCTTGTATGTGATACCCATGATATTGTTCAATAACTTCCACATTCAGTTGGATCACATTTGTCAGGAATGAGAACAAATACGGACCTCTTCCAATCCATTGGCTAGACAGCCATTCTCCATGCAAGGCTGCATCTGTTAATTAAAACAAGTCAGTTGGTATCCCCTACATTCCTAGGGCCTTATTCTTTGCCAATGCCTTCAATGCAGCTTCTACTTCCTTCTTTACCATTGGCTCCTATGCATAGGGTACTTCCGGAAAATTTTTTGGTGTCAACCATTTCTTCCTGGTACAGTGACTTTGTGTATTCCCTCCATCGTCTTTTGATGCAGTTGGATTCTGGAGGGTGCTTTTTATTTACTTGAAAGCTAGGGGTAAACTGTTTAGACATTTCTGATTGTGTTAGCAATCAAATGTAAGCTGATTAACTGTACCTGATATCATTTACAATCAGCTGTGGGTGGGAGCTGATTAACTGTCTCTCATTTAGTTTACAATCAACTGTGTGTGGGAAGTCTCTTAAGTAGGCAAACAGGATCTGGTAGGCAGGTCTTTATATTTAAAAGTTGGCTGGGCCCAAAGGCCATTTGTTCTAAGTGGTGCAACACTTGTCAGTTTGCTGTACTAAGATTACTTGAGGATGCCAGTGACACTGAAATCTGTGCCACTGGTGTGTCAAATGACAAAAGGTTTCCCCATCATGGACAGGTTTTGTTGGAGCTCCCTGATTAAGACAGACAGAGAAGCAAGATGGGCCATCTACTTCCTAAATAACAGGCAGTTGAAAATCCTAAGAACACTAAACCAGGATCATTATAGTAGTGTTGTGGTAGAGTCCAGAGTAGAAGTCAGTTGGAAAATCAACAGCAAACATCATTTCACAATTGGAACATGGAATGTACTTAGTTTGAATGTTGGAAAACTAGAAATTATTAAAATGGAACATATGAATATAGACATGCTAGGCAATAGAGAGATGTGATGGACCACCTTCGGCCACTTTGAATTAGATAATCATATGGCATACTATGCAGGGAATGGAAAACAGAGGAAGGATGGTGTTATATTCATAGTAAAAAAGTCAAATTCAAGTTCTATCCTGAAATATTGCGAGTGATAGGGTAATATCCATAAAAATACAAGGAAGACCTGTTAACATGAACTTTACTCAAATATACACTCCTAAGAGGAGCCAAAGAGGAAGCATTGATAATTTTTACCAAATTTTTGCAGTCTTAAATTGACCACACATGTAATCAGGATGCATTAATGATAACTGTGATTGGAATGCAAAAATAGGAAACAGTAAAAAAGGAACAGTAGTTGAAAAATGTGGGCTTATTGATAGAAATGAGGGTGGACCTTAAAAAAGACTTGAAGAAGCTACCCAGGGTTTTGTTTTTTTTTGGTTTAATAGAAAGATTTCACAGTGGTAGGGTACCACTTTGAAGGGTAAAGTCTGAGTTTCTCTGTGATAAATCCCTTTGCCAAATGTAAGAGTTGCACACTTGCTACTGGCAAGAGTGAAGCAAGTGGGTGAGCACAACTATCCTGATCGGGGAGCGATTTTTAATAGTCAGTCTAGATAAAAAGTGTCAATGCAGGAACTGAACACTGAGGAGATATATAGGATCTCCTGAAAGGACCTGCCAACTACTTCTGGGCAAGAATGTTGCCATTACTTGAGGTAGCAGGCAGACTAGCTGCTTTCTAAGGTGTTGAGGTAAGTAACTGAGCCAAGGGGAGGTTGGGTGATTGAGAGAAACAAGGGATTCTTGGTTAAACAGAATATTTTGTTTGGGAACCAAAAACCTTAACTAGTAATCTCTTGGTCATTGAGCCACAAATTTTCCCTGGAAAGAATGCATCTCTTCCAGCAAAATCTTCCTGGGAGTTATGTAACTAAGGAATGAACTGAGATGAATGTGTGGAAGTGTTATTTAATGGTACAGTGTACTAGGAATTAAAGACTTGCAGCAGATTTCAAATCCCAATTCTTGATAAAACTTTTTAAAGATTGTGAAATTATCAAAATGGACATG